GTACAGGCTGGCTCATTAAGGGCTGTTCCAGAAATCAGGTAGAAGCTCATGTGAAAGTCATCAGAGCCACCTTCCACAACCCTAGCTGGTCTCCTCAATAAGGTGAAATCCATTCTGGGCCGTGTCTGGAGAATAGAGTTTATTGGGGCAGTTCTGGACTTGACCTACGCGAGAACGTACCTCCCAGAAGTGAGGATTCAGGCTATCACTGCTATCATTCAGGGTCTCAGGCAGTTCCTCACTATCACTAAACAGAACTGCCAGAAATTGTTGGGTCACATGAAGATATGTAAATGTGTGATATGACATTCTGACTCCTTCATTCATGGCTGGCACCTGAATATTGACCAGCCCGGGTCAAACTAGACAGACCAATAACACTGTCTTCCCTGGTGCTAGACTCCCTTCTGTGGTGCCTGAACCAATAGGAGGTTTGCTCAGGGGTCCCCTTGGTGCCACACTTTTGAAAACTTTAGTGATGGATGTGCAGGACTTAGAGGATGAGGAAGGTCCATTTAGCAGAACTCAGGGTCTCCACATAAACATCAGAGAACTGAGGGCAATGTGCCTGGCATGCCAAACCTTTCAGACCCTCTGTCATCACAGAAACACAATATTCTATATCAACAAATGGGGATGCACACTCTTCTCCCTTATGTCAGGAAGCCCTCAGACTCTGGGTCTTCTGTCTAGAACATTCAATACATCTGCATGCCTCTTACTTCCTAGGTGTACAGAATGAGCTAGTGGACCACCACAGCAGGTTCTCTCTCTGCCTGGGTGTTGCACAATCAGTCTTCCAGAGGTGAATGTCTTTCCCAAGTTAGACCTATTCACCACATAACATAGCAGGAAATGCCAGCAGTTCTGCTTCTTCCAAAGCCACAGCCTGGGCTCCAGCATGGACATGGTCTCCCCCTTGGATGAGAAACATCTCCTATACACCTTTTACTCCTACTACTTGTCCACAAGGTACTCCAAGATTTGGAGGGATCAAGCTCAGGCAATCTTAATAGCACCAGCCTGGCCCCGCTAACACTGGTACATCTCCCTCCTGGATGAGTCAATGAAGACCTCGGTCTTGCTTGCACTGTTCCGGTACTTGCTCACACAAGACCATGGTTGCCTTCAGCATCCAAACTTCGAGTTGCTCCACTTCACAATGTGGAAGCTCCGTGGCTAAACCCCTTTGAGCTCTCATGCTCAGACAAGTTCTCCTTGGCACAAGAAGCCTTCCACAAGAATCACTTGCCACATCTGTGGAAGAGATTTTCAATCTGGTTGATGATACAACATGGCTATCTTCCAATGCTAACGTCAATGCCACTACTAAGAGGAGGTAAGACTATCTCTTCTACCTCAAACAGAAAGGGCTTTCAGCCTTCTCTGTAAGGGTCTGGTCTAGCCACTACATCAGTTTTCCATCCTGGTGCACAAGGTTGCTCAGTATTTACAGGCCCTTTGGTTATCTGATTCTTAAAAGGCCTTAACAGACTCTCCAGTCGGACAACCAGTGCCACCCTGGGACCTCAATTTAGTCTTCTCCAGGTTAATGTGCTTGCCATTTGAACCACTGGCCACCAGTTCCACCTCTCCTGTAAGGTGACAATAATCTCCACTAGGAGGATGTCAGAACTTAGGGTCCTAACATCAGAGCCTCTGGTATGATTTTCTATAAGGACAAAATACACTTCCAACCACACCTGATGTTCCTCCCTAACATAATGTCACAATTCCACGTTAACCAGGACATGTTTCTTCTGGTATTCTACCCCAAGCTGCACTCTAGCGCCCGGGACAGAGACTACACTCTCTAGATGTGTGGAGGGCCCTAGCTTTTTATGTCGAGAGGACAAAATCATTCAGAAAGTACAGTTATTTGTAGCAGTGGTGGACTGAATGAAAGGTCAGCCATTATCAGCCCAACACATTTCATCATGAATAGTAGCATGTATTTGAGACTGCTACAATTTCACAGAATTGCCTCCACTTGCACTCAGCCTTCTCTCCAGCAGGGCCCAGGCTTCATCCACAGATTTCCTGCCCCACTCAGGAAACATGCAGAGTGGCAACCTGGTTGTTTATACAAACTTTTGCTGAATACTATGCTATCACCCATCAGGCTGGGGTTGATGCTGCTTGGAGACGAGCAGTGCTTCAGTCAGTGCAAGACTCTGACCCCACCATCTGAACTTGGACTAATGAGTCACCTGATTGGAATGCACATGGACAAGCACTTGAAGAAAAAAGTTATCTACCTTCTTGTAACTTGTTCTTCTAGATGTCGTTCATATCCATTCCAATATCCATGCCCCTTCCCTTCTGTCAGAATAGCTGGAAAGAAGGAACTGAGGAGGGGGCAGATTGACATAGACTTATGTTAAGCACTGTGGAGGCAGCAACGCCCAGACTGACCCTATGGGGATCTGAGTTGGGAAAAATCTTCCCGCCTCTGTGCATATGTATGCGCACACATGTGATTGGAATGGACATAAATAACAGTTATGAGTAGTAAGGATGTTAAGAGGAAGGTAATTGGGTAGTTGACACAATTTGTATCAACTACATGATTTAGTCAATAAGGGAAGGTGCTCAGAAGGAGCTCCCCCTGCTGTGGCTCTGCAGTTTAAATGTAGCAAGAACCAGACATGCAGGCAGCCCGGCTCCTCCTACAGTTAAACTGCAGAGCCACGGGGGTGGGGGGGGGGGGCTCCTGGACCCAGCATCATTAACAACATTCTTTGTTAATAGTAGTTTGTTTCCAACTCTAGAGGGACTGCTTTGTTTCTGTGTTTTTTTTAAGGTAATCTATATAGCATAGTACAAACTGTCACTTGTTTAGGATGACTTTTCTACTTGTGAGTAACACAACTGTTGCAAACACATTGGTAAGCTTTGATAGCACTACATGCTATTCTTTGAAGTTTATCTTTTACCGTTGTGTGGTTTTTGTTTACAGGAGCCTTTTGCATGATATTTTTCCTGCCTGCCACTGTATTTTATTTGCTGTTGATGTGCAAACAGGAAGATCCCAGTGTTATGAACTTCGCTCCTTTGCCAGTATTTGGTAGTTTGTGGGAGACCAGAGTGTTTGGTGGTGTTCTTCTGTGGTTCTTTGTTCAAGCTCTGTTTTCCTTATTGCCAATTGGAAAGGTAATCTTCTCATAATAAATACGTTCTGGGAGGTTACTGTTTTGTGGGTTGGGTTAAAACAAGGTTTGATTTTATTATTTGAAATATTATTATTAAGCCGATTACTAAATACTACATTAGAATATAACTACTGCAGATTTGTTGAAAGCTTAAATTACACAACTGCCAGCTTGAAAACACTTGCTGCCAAAAGTGATTCCTGATCATATATCCCCATACCTACAGTACACTTTAAAGAAATTAAGTAGTCAGATGGATTTGGTGTACTGATAGAGTTTTGGAAAAATGTCATATGACAAGTTTTGAGCATTACATTTTTACTGGCTTTTGTTGTTGATTCTACTACTACATCAAGTAGAAGGGAGATTATTTACTTCATTGCTGCAAAGTTGCTCACTCAGGAATTCATTCCTAACGGTCACATTCATACATATATCACAGTTGGACGAGTAAATTATATTGTTCTTTCCCTTTCTCTGAAACATGAGATATTGCCCACATCTGGAATAAAGATGGTCTAGTTTGAAATGGCAATTTCTGTACAAGTCAACAATTCCTTAATTTGTCTGTTTTAAACTGGAGAAGATCTGTTATTGGACTCTTCATTGATGCCACTCTGGGAAATAGAAGCTTCTGACTTTGTAATTCTTGTCTTAAAATTGCCACCTCCCACTTTAAGCATAAATTTCAGTGAAATTTCAGACACCTGTTCTTATAGAAATTCCTTGAAAGTTTATGTAAACATAGCTAATGTTTGCATATCTGTCCATCTTTTCTTGTTTATTTTTCTTGCCCGTAAAATAATATTTGAAGAGTTCTTTCTAGGGACTTGGTGTATTTGAAATCTAGTCAATTAAAAAAATTACCCCCCACCCCACTTCTGGCCTTCAAATATTCCCCCATTTTACTAAACTTGTCAGAAACAAGCTCCCCACAGACCAAGACCGAGCAACTCAAAACAGTACCAGACCTTTTCAGAACAACAACAGCAAAACCTGCAGACATATCTGTAGTGCTACAATGATAAATAACTACCACAGCACACCTTTCCAGATTTTGCGTTTCTACACATGCCTCTCAGATCCAGTGTATCAAATGCCCCAAAACTATGTGGGTGAAATCTGACAATTGCTGATCTTGAAGGAACATACACAGAAAAGTTATAAAAGACCAAAACATCTTATTACATGGGGGAGGGCACAGGAAGAGGAGGTAGATGGGATGCAGCGCTCCTAAATCAAGAGAAGAATGCAAGACATAAGATATGGTATTAATTAGAGACTTTAGCCAGAAATTTGTCTGGAAAGTAGAATGGCAAAACAGTTTCCAATAAGTACTTGGAATGTGTTGGGAATAATTTTTTGTTTCATGAAGTGGAGGAAATAACATTAGGGAGAAATTGAAAGCAAATCTGAAGATGGAAGGCACTTTGTATAAAAGTGATAATGAAATTGTAAATTTCATGACCCTATGGAAAGGAAGGAGTGAAAGCAGTAGAACAATTGAGTTCAAAAAGCGGATTTTAGCAAACTTAAAGAGAGAGAGATACGGTTCTGGGGAAGAAAAATGAAGGGAAACAGGATTTCAGTATTGTTGTCTGTTTTTTTGAAGTAGACAGTAATCTTAAAATAAAAAAGGAGTCCCACAAAAAAAATGGAAACATGGACACATTGCTAAGGAGCAAAAAGCACAGGCATTATACACAATAGCATAAACCAGTTGTGGCCAACCTGAGCCTGAGAGAGAGCCACCATTTACCAATGTACATTGCCAAAGAGCTACAGTAATTTGTGAGCAGTCCCCAACAGGTGCTTTCCTCTCCCGTCTCCAGCATCTTTTACCCACCAGCAGCCTCATTAATCAGTGCCGCCTCTTCCTTCCCTGCACCTCCTGCCCACTGCAATCAGCTGTTTCATGGCCCTCAAGAGGCTCTGTGGGGTAGGGAAGGAGCGAGGGTGCAATATGCTTGGAGGAGGATATGGAGCCAGAAGTTGAGCACTGAAAAGTCGGCACCTATAGCTGCAGCTCCAGAGTCAGGCCTGAGCAAGAGCCATGTATTAGCTGCAGAAGAGCCACAGGTGCCTCCAGAGCCACAGGTTGGCCACCCCTGGCATAAACAATAAGGACAAAGAAAGGCTAAGGCGCAAAATGAGTTACAGCTAATGAACTTAATACCCTTTATGACTTTTGCTAAATATATGAGGAACAAGAGGCAAAAGGAAGTATAGAGCCATAATTTAGTGCGGGAAGGATTGCTAATAACTGATACCAAGATGCCTGAGATGTTTAATGCCTATTTTGCTTCAGTCTTCACTAACGATGTTAATGTTGACCAAATACTCAACACAATTAATATTAGCAACAAGAAGGAATACATGCCAAAAAAAGTAAAAACACAGGTTAAAGACTATTTACACAAGTGAGATGTCTTCAAGTAAGTAGGACCCGATTAATTTAATCTTGCAATACTTAATGAACTAGCTGAAGCAGTGGAACTATTAGTCATCTTTTTGAGAACTGAATGGGGAATACATGAGGTCCCCAAGGACTGCAGATGGACAACATAAAACATACCTTTTTAAAAAGGAAACAAAGAGGACCCAGGAAATTATAGACCAATCAGCCTACATTTGATACCTGAAAAGTTACTGGAAAAATTGTTAAACTATCAATTTTGTAAGTAAGGAGAGGATAATATGGTGATAAGGAATAGCCATCATTTGGGAGGACAGAATTAGAATGCAAAAGGATCATGACAAATTAGAGAATTGGTTTGAAATTAGTGAGATGAAATTCACTAAAAGGAGTGTTAAAGTACTTCATTTAGGAAGGAAAAATAATGCGCCACTATAAATCGAGGAATAACTGGCTATACGGTAGTACTACTAAAAAGGATTTGGGGAATATAGTGGATCACAAATTGAATATGTGATGCAGTTGCAAAAGAAGGTTACTATTCTGAGCGAGAATAACAGGAGTGTTATATATTAGCCATAAGAGGTAATTATCCCACTCTGTCCAGTACTGGTGAAGCCTCTCCTTAAGAACCGCATCCAATTCTGGGTGGCTTACTTCAGGAAAAATGTGGAAAAAGAAGACAACTGTGGAGGAAATGATAAAAAGTTTGGAAAACCTGACATAAGAAAAGACTTAAAAAACCTTGGGCATGTAGTCATGAGAAGAGACTGAGGGGTCAAACTGGCAAGTCTTCAAATATGTTAAGGGCATCTATAAAGATGACAGTAATCAACTGTTCTCTTTGTCCACTGAAGGTAGGATAAGAAATAACCATCTTAATCTGCAGCAGTGGAGATTTACATTAAATATTAGGAAAAATGTAACCATTATAAGAGTAAGTAAGTGCTGGAATAGGATTCTAAGGGGGGTGTTACATGGTGTAACTCACTGCCGCAGTGCCTCCTGCTGGTCACTCTTGGAATTAGCATTTCAGTTCTGGAGTGCCCCCTTTTGGCTGATGTCATGCCTGTAGTTAGCTGTTACTGGCTCTGCCACTCTGTTAGGACTTGTGTCCCTCCTAGACTGTGACACCCTTCCCTTTGGGTACTGCCCTGCTGCAGTGCCCCCCACACTCTGGGATCCTTCCCTTCTGGGAACCCCCAACCCTGTATGCCCATCTTGCCTCAGTGACCCACTGTCAGTCTTCATCTAGCCCCTGCCAAAGGACAAACTGCAGTCTGAAATGGCCACTCATCATTGGCAAGGGGGTGTGGACCTGCTGCCTCTGCCTACCCTGACTGCATCTCTGCAGCCCTAGTTCTCTCATGCCTTGCTTCAGGCCCTGCAGCCTGTGAGCTTGCCTGGCCAGAGCTTCCCCTGTTCTGCTCTGCTCTACATCAGGAAGCCTCTAGCTTCCCTGGTAGCCAAGTCCTTCCTGCTCCACAACTGGAGCAAAAGTAAGTCTGTGTCCACCTCTCCATGAGCCTTTATTTATACAGTCCCAGCTGGGCCCTAATTGGCTGTTGCTGGTTTCACTGCTCCAGCCCTCTCCCAGAGCTGGGTTTTAACCCTTAAAGGGCCAGTGTGGGGCAGTTCTCCCTCCCTCTCGCATTCCCCAGTCTCAGGGGGCTTTTAGAAATCCCATCATTGCAGATTTTTAAAAACTTGTTTAGACAAACACATGTCAAAGATGATTTAGGTTTACTTAAACCTTAGTATTTCCTCAGTGGTGTGGGCTAGACTTAGCTTCTTGAGGTCCCTTTTGGCCCAACATTTCTGTGGTTGTATGTATTCGAAACCCTTTTTGCTTAAGTCTGTCCCAACTTGTATTTAGCATACAAATTCTGGTTACCTTCCCCAGATCTGAAGAAGAGTTCTGCATAGCTCAAAAGTTTGTCTTCTCCATGAATAGAAGTTGGTCCAGGAAAATATATTGCCTCACTTACCTTGTCTCTATTTAAAATAAAAATAGTGCAGGTAATTTCAGGTGTTGAATCTGCTCCTGACTCCCCTTATGAACCACATTTTCCTGTGTTCTTTTCTAAATAACTCCCTGAAGTGTATGGAAAATCCAAAACAAATGGGAAGCTAACATTATACAAAAGTATTGTCAAATACACAAAGTAAACTAATCAGGTGATGAGGAGGAAGGACATGCTAGCTTTCAGTTGTTAATGACTCAGTTGTTGCTAGTTACTAGAGAAGATACACAAATTTTAGAAAGGAATAAGATTTTCAAGTTGATAGTGTTTCTCTAATTGCCTGTTATGACTGAACTTCTGTCACGTGGACAAATGAAAATATTTGAATTGAATTTAAAAAAATCAAGTCTTTAATCCTTTCTCCTCTAAGGTTGTAGAAGGGCTGCCACTTTTGAATGGAAGAAGACTACAGTACAGGATAAATGGTAAGGTTCAGAAAAGGACAACAAAAATGATTAAGGGTTTGGAATAGATCCCATGTGAAAAGGTATTAAAAAGACTGGGGCGTTTCAGCTTAGAAAAGAGGAGACTAAAGGGGAATAGGATAGAGGTCTATAAAATCATGACTGGCGTGGAAAAAGTGAATAAGGAAAAGTTGTTTACTTTTTCCGATAACTTAAGAACTAGGGGTCACCAAATGAAATTAATAGGTAGCAGGTTTAAAACAAACAAAAGGAAGTTTTTCTTCACGCAGTGCAAGGAGACTGTTGAAACAGCGAATAATCATGTATCTGCTAAATTTTGATGTGGTTACACTATTATTAAATTAATTATCTAACATCCCTATATTCAGGTGTATGTGTAATGATCTATGTATTTTTTTTATTAGGAGGGTAAGATTGAAGCGATGCATGTGCACCTGGGATGGAGAGCAGCTAAGCCTGTGGTTTGAGTTAGTTGCTGTGGGAGGCACATTCCTGGATTTCCCAAAAGAGTTGTTTCTCCTGCTACTACTGAGGTTTTAGTACTGTGGCAGATATGCTGCCAGGGGACCGTAGCTGTAGATAGTGGTCCTTATCCTGGAGCTTTTTAATAACCTGCACATAGATCATTGCTTGTCTTGAAGAAAGGTACTGAGATCTTGAACTTGAATGCAATATTCTGTGGTGAGCCAATGAAGTGAATAGATAGGTTTGATGTGCATGAGGGTTAACCTGTGTTACTGAAGAGGTGTGCTGCTGCATTTTGTATTAATTGTAGACCAGATGGACTGTATTTCCATAGTCTAGTTGTGTGTAGCTGAAATGAAGTCTTCATGTAATGCTAGCCAGCAACACATGTGATGGTAGAATTTATTGCTCATAGAGCCTATGTTCAGAGCTTAACATAAGTCTGGAGTCCGTTCTAAGCTGCACATGCCTTGAAGAGGCTATGGCTGTAAACTCCTAAAAATATCCAGATGCCTAGCCTGTTATATGCATGTCACCATGCATATGCATCAAGGCCCTGCTTTTCTGCTAAATGCTGAAGTGGACCCCATTATTTGTGTACATGATTTGAAAAATTAAATAATTTGAAGAAGTGGGCTTTGCCTACGTAAGCTCATGATACCATCTACATGTTTTGTTAGTCTTTAAGGTGCTACTAGACTATTTGGTTGTTTTTTTTAAAGTTTTTCCCGTTACAGACTAACTCGGCTACCCCTCTGAAGCTTTTAAAAAATTAAATAATTATATCATTGTAAAGGTATCTTTAAATCTTTTCAAAATTTCACAAAAGCGTGTATAAATATAACGAGGGACTCTTTGTACTAAAAGTTATGTTCTTTTTACTTTGGGGCTTGGCTTTTATGTTAACTTTATTTTTTTTTAAAGGTTTTTATGCTTTTCTCCTGACTGTTGCTGCAATAGGAACTTCTTTATATTTTGAAATTGAGCTTCATTATTTATATGACCATTTCCTGCAGTTTGCAGTCTCTGCTGCAACTTTTTCTGTGTTTTTGAGCATTTATCTCTATGTCCGGTCCCTGAAAGCACCTAAGGAAGAACTGTCACCTGGTGGAAATTCTGGTAAGTGTATGAGAAATATTTCAAACCTTTCTTCCCTTCTGTTTTAGAATCATAGAGCTGGAAGAAACCTCAGGAGGTCATCAAGTCCAGCCCCCTGCCCAAGGCAGGATCAATCCCAACTAAATCAACCCAGTCGGGGCTCTATCAAGCCAAGACTTAACTTTTTTCAAAGAGGGCCAGATTTGATGAAGTGAACATGCGTGAGGGCCGACCATTTTGCCTGACATTCTTTGAACCATTAAAATTAAATGCAAATTAACTATTTTATGCAAAGTTTATTGCAAACGGCATACTTTTCATTTCGTCACATGGATGACAAATCTAAACAGGTGTTAAATCACTCTGCCTTTCATATCTGAAGGCCAGATGAAAAAAAAATCCAGGAAGCTGAAATATATGTCAGGAACATTGTAAAGTACATTACATATTATTGGTAATAAAGGTTGTCTGTCAACTTTTAAGTTCAAAAAATATGAACAGGAACATAACACCAAGTATACATGTTGTGTCCAAATATATTTATAACTGATTTAGACCAACTGACATTAACTGAGATTTTACAATGTATTCATCTCAATACATATGGATTCGTTGGGGGCCATAAAAGATAGATATTGCCAAATTACCTGTGGGGCCGTATTAAACCAGAACACGGGCCGCAATTGGCCCGCGGGCCGGACTTTGGACATGCCTGCTTAAAAACCTCTAGGGATGGAGATTCCACCGCCTCCCTAGGTAATCCATTCCAGTGCTTCACCACCCTCCTAGTGAAATAGTTTTTCCTAATATCCAACCTAGACCTCTCCCACTGTGACTTGTATTGTATGAACAAACCTTTGCTAAATCAAATCTTAAGTACATTTTAATTCCCATAACAATATGACTAATATTTAACATTTTGCTCTTCCCATATTTATATTGCAAGTTGAATGCTTTTTATAAAGACCAGTCCTGGATAGCATCTCAAATTTAGTTGACTCTTTGCATAATAAACTTAAACATTATTTGAAGTAGGGATGTAAGCAAGAAGTTGAGTCGACTACTCTCTCCTCCCCCTCCCCCCCTTGCTGTCCCCAGTACTGTCTCTATGCTCCCGTTCCTCCCACCCACGCTGCTGCCTCTGATAGTGCGGGGTGGGAGAGGGGCAAGTGAGGCTGCCACAAAGCAGCCTTTGTCCATGTTAGCCTGGACTGTATGTGGACAGAGGCTGCTCTAGTTGCAGCCCCTGTCTGCAGGGGGTTCCAGCGCCTTGCTGGGACCCCCCTGTGGACAGGGACTGCTGGACCAGGGGCAATCCTGTTTCTTACTACATTTAAACTGCAGAACCACAGCAGGGGTAGCTCCTGGACCCGGCATGAGCTGGTATCATGTGCTTCCCTTATCGACTAATCGTGTCGTCGATAACATTTTTACCAACTGCATCATTAGTGAATTTTTACACGTAACACTTCTTAACATCCTTAATTTGAAGTACCTTATATAGCCATGTCCTTAAAGATGGGGAAAAATTTTTCTCTTGCAGTTTTCAGCATTTGGTAGTCTTTTGTATAGTCACTTTCATGCTTTCCCCTGTTGTTGGAACTTTCCAACAACAGCTTGAGGAGAAGAACAGGGAGAAAATGTTTAGAAAATTGCAAACACTGGTAGTGGAAAGTCAGGGGTAGAGGTGGATTTCAACCTATTATTTTCACAAAGTTCTTTGAGGAATGTCCCTGTGGGTACTCCACCTTAGGTGTTTGGGTGCCACTGATCACCTACTTGGAGATTTTTTGGTAGCAGTGCCCTCCGGTGGGCTGCACATGCGGAGCAAATGGCACACGCGGTGCTGCCACAATGCACACTCAGCAACTGTCCCCTGAGTTCCTTCTGTGCCGCCGGTGGTGTAGGTTGGAACCGCTGTGCTCTCCAACAATAATTGTGTTTTTTTCCCCCAGTATTCTGGTAGTGTATTGTGGCATAGTTATCTGTTAGTCATGGTTATTATAGTTAAATAGTTTAAAACAGTTAGTGTTTGTTTTTTGAAATTCTTCTCTTTTTGCTTGTTAAGGCTACATTTTTGCCTTAGCAAGCCCTCCTCCCTGGAATGCCAGGTTCCCCAGGTTTCAAACGCTGTCTGTCCTGCAGCCTCTCCATTCCTGTTTCAGACGAGCATTCACAGTACGTCTGGTGCCTGGGCCAGGCACACTTCACTGCTCGGTGCTAAAATTGCAAGCAGCTGACGGCCTAGAGGTGGAAGGCAAGGGAGCTACAACTGAAGTTGATATCCCTGGAGAATACAGTAAGGCCAGCCTCCGACCCAGAGCATTCCACCCCACCTTGGCAGCCCTCCCCAGTGGCTGTGGCTGAAAAGGTGGCCCCATCGGCCTCTGCTGATAGAGACTTTTCCCTAGACCTGTCCAGGAAGAGGTCTCATTGTGCGAGCAAGGGTGACTCCCCCTCAAAAAAAGGGGGGGCAAACACCTAAAATACCCCCTGCACCAACCCAGTCTAGGGCGCGGGACAGGGAGGTACCGGGACCATCAATATCTCATGGTTCCATTGATCTAAGTACCTAACAAGGGTAATTGACAAGGCACTGGACAAGCCTAAGTTGAAGTCAGCACCACCTGCCTCTGACTTGGCACTCCAGAAGGCTAAGTTGAAAACGCCTTACAGAGATGTTCTCTCAGCATCAAAAAAGCCTAAGTTGCATGCTACACCATCGGTACCTATGTCGCCTCTGGTATCAAGAAAACAGAAACAACCACTGCCTGTTGTTCAGCCAGTACTGTTGGCACTGCTGGTAGCTGTGGTACCACCATCTTCGGTTCCACCAGCACTGTTGACGCTGGCGCCACTCCTGTTATCACTCTGAGCTCCTCAGCGGTTGTTGTCTGTGCCAACTACCCCATTATTTGGCACTGATGGTACACCTGCTTCTAGAAGGTTTACCTTGTCCTCTCCTGCGGGCTTGACACCACTATTATCAAGCAATGAGGATGACAAACCTCTCTTCGGTACCTATACACCAAAGCACTCTTCACCTGAACAACCTCAACAGGAACAACAGCAGCCACAACAGATGCAATTTTGACCAACCCCTCCTCTACCACCAAGGACTGCCTCCATACAATCCTTGGATACCTTTCCGTGCCAAGAGGAGGACAAGGCCCCTTCAAGTGACAAGAAGTCTACAGTCTCCTCACGCCCACCCCCTGACGATACTCTGATGCCTCTGCCTCCCACAGCAGGTAATGACTTTAAATCCTTCCAATAACTGTACAGAAGGGTGGCTGATGTTCTTGAGGTCTCATTGGTAAGCCTCCTGGAGACTCAGTACAAATTAACCAATATATTGCATGCCTCCCTACCAAACAAACTGGCACTTGGGACGCCGCCAAGGCACTCTAGCAAAAACCAGCCACAATGCCACCGGTCTGCAAAAGGTCAGACTGCAAATGTTATGTTGCCCCCACCCAAGGCGCAGACTTTTTCTTCTTGCGTCTGGCCCCTATCTCCATAGTGGTTGATGCAGTGAACCAAAGGGGCAAGCAAGCAGTGATGATAACCACCCCGTATGAAAAGGATTGGAAATGCCTCGACTTCATGGGGAGGCAGGCATATTCTTTTGCATCTCTACAACTGCACATATCGAACTATACAGCCATGGTGGCCAGATACACGCATCACATTTTCGAGCAGTTGATATATTTTATTGAGGCGCTAGCAGAGGACAAAAGACCAATTCAGGGCAAATATTAATGAGAGCACCCTGATCTCATGCATGGCCCTTCAAGCCATGCTAGATGCATTTCTGCTGCTTTCTGATCTGTTGCGATGGCAATGGTGATGAGGTTGTCATGGCTACATTTGTCTGAATTTCTACATGAGGCCCAGGCCACCATTGAAGATTTTCTCTTTCAGGGATCCATGCTTTTTGCCAACACCACTGATGTCTCTCTTCGCTCTCTGCAGAGCTCATACCTATTGGGCTA